AATATTATGACTTTATTTTTATAACTTGTAGTTGCATTTTTTTTATCCATTGCAGCGTAAATTTCATCAGCTAAGTTGCTAAACTTACTTTTAAACACAAATCCTTCGGTCCGTGGTAATTTCCAAACTGCGCTGACTCGTTAAAAAATAAAAACTCTACCTTCTTAATTTCTCTGTTTACATATTTTGCTGCCCGTGCATTGAATCCTGGGATATCCTCAGCTGGTGAGGATACACGGATGCATCCTCAGATTTCGAGAGTTTGTCGGCCGTATGAGGAGGAGCCTTGGAAATGGGACAGTACTCCGCGCCGGGCATTGACATAGTGACCCAGCCCCTGAATTGAGACACAGCCAGAGAAAGAAAAGAGAAAAGATCTATAGGGTCGGCCATGATGGAAACAAAGGAGAAAAAGGAGCATGCTGGGTAATATAGAAGAATGTGCTGAGTCACTGGTGGTCATGGTGAATCCCAGGGAGGAGGAGCACTTCAGGCAGAACCACAGATTAAAAAGTAAGCCTCRGAAAAACAGTCTGTGTGTGAAGACTTGAAGTCGGACCAAAGAACTTCTTGACCCGTGAACAACAGAAGGTTCTGATGATATCAAAGTTTGTGTTTGATGGTTCTACAGGGTTTCAGAGAGGATATGTGAAGAGTTAAAAAGTTCCTTTACTCCTGTTTGAAGAGAAAACTGTAGGCATTTCTGCAGGGATCGGCCTGGCCAGGGTTCAAACCTGGGTTCAGCATCTTTGCATTAGCCCTTATAGCCCAGACCTACCATGATTTCTGGAACCTCGAGAGCTGTGGTTCCAGTTGGGCCGGCCCGATTTGACGTCAGCTACTGCTGATCATTGATTGGTTCTGATCGGTGTGTTAGGTCACACAGGTGAGAGTAACTTTACATGAATCATTTGCTATGACTAACATTTTTTTTCACACCAGTCTAACAGTAGCGARCTACCAAACAACAAGCTAACATTAGCTACCATTAGCTTACTGTTCTCTGTCGTCCTGCCCTCTCACCTTCAACATCATACTGCTGGATGGTCCAGTTCAATATTCAATACTTTCCCTTTAGGTTTGGTGTATTCTATTTGTGTTTTGTTACATATAAAGCAAAATAAAACTGATTAATATTATGATCTTGCCCACATGAAGGTGGCTCTCTGCTCAGTCCAAACACAACCAGGACCGGGGTAGAAAAAGGCCATGCCGTCTGGAGCCAGGGTGGGCCTAAGCGGGCTTTAAAATGCAAAAATGCCTTCTAAGTTCAGATACAGTGGAAGTCAATGAGAGTTTGAGTGTGTGACCTTTGTTATCATTAATGACTCAACTCTTGGGTTTGTGAAGTTGTTTCATACTTGTGCCCAAAAGATTTTTTTCCCCTTCATAAAACAGTAAAAAGACAAAGTGCCTCAGCTAATAAATGTAGGCACATTTCAGTGAAGCTGGAATAATAAAACCTTCTCTCTGGTTGTAAACCTTTAAAAACTGCTGTGGATGTAGCTTCAGATTTGTTCCTTTTGTCTTTTTAAAGTCTAACTGACGAAGATGGCCTGTGATTTATAGAAAGTGTAGAACATCTGGAAACACAACATGATCAGACGACTCCGCCTGACCACCGAGGCTCTCAGGGAATTATTATCCTGCTGAGGGAAAGACTTCGGCTTTGTTCAAATATTTAAGACCACCGCGTCAAAAAAAATGGAGCAACTCCAGCGCCAAGTCCAAATGTAAAGAAGTGTCCTACATTGATATTCTGGTATGAACAATTAATGTTGGATTCCTTCATCGTGGCAGGCCACCAAGTTCTTCATTAAAGAGCAGGACTGTCACCGAATCACTGACTCTATTTACATTTCAAAAGTGGCCTGTCACTCTGCATCCATGTCAGCCCATTCGCCGCCGCTGCCGCCACTTCTCTGCCACTAATTGATCTCTGTTATACTCTGGAGGTGAGAACAAGCTCTTTTAACCTGATTATACCGAGCTTTCATCACAAGTTCATCTTTAAAACATGGATCCAGTGTTTTTCTGTCCGCCACACCTCAACTTTACCAGAGGTTTACTGTTAAACACCCTCTGTGTTTGTCTCAGCTTTACCAGAGGATAACATAAAGCAGTTAAGTTAAAATGTGAAATATTGGAATAAAATGTTCAAACTCTATCCATGTTATCATTAAACACACTTGGGTGTTTTAACTACTAAATAAAATCTTAAATTTGATCGCATCCGCTTGGCTGAATGTCCTTTCAGACCACCTGCGAAGACCACTGTCTGTTTTATAAAAGAACTAACTTTGAAGTTTATATTGGTAAAAGTTTATATAATTTTTATTTTGTAGAGAAGTCACTGTGTTATGATTCTAAAATGTTTTAGTTGCAAAATATTAGAAAGCCTTCTCTTTCTGAGCACCAAAGTTTTGTTTTATCCGATAAAAGCTGAAAGCGTTCACACCAAGCTGAACTAAACTCTGCTCATCCTTTGTGCCTCCGTTTCCTCTTCATCAATTAATGAGTGTTTCTTTAGACTGGCAGGCCACCAAGTCCTTCATGAATGAGTCCAAATGTCACTAAATCACACATTTAATTAGCATGTCAAAGGGAGCCATCAGCTTGCATCTCCATCATTGTTTGAAGCTCCATGTTGTCCTGAACTTCATGGCTCCCGACCCCTTTTTCTTCGTTATTCTCCAGAGGTCTTTGAGCCTCATTATAGCCAGCTTTCATCACACGTTGGCTGACATCTTTAAAACACGGATCCTCTCTTCCTGCCAGCGAGACGGGACCGCTGTTACTCTTCATTTAGTTCAACAACACAAACAGTCACCTGCGCCGACCCCCCAGCTCTCCTCTCCTGTCATTTTTCCTGTTCATCACCGTTTACAGCCTCAAACGATGCCACACTCCCCTCCTGTACTCACCAGGACCTGATACCGGAGCACACTGCGTTAATGAGTTCTTTAAAGGTCCAAGTCCATTAAGATTCTTGTCAGACGTTTACTGTAAGTCACCTCTGACTGCTGAGGGTACCTTATCAGGCCCGAGGAGAGCCGCAGCTTCGGCTCCCAGGATGCTGCTTCATCTTTGAAATGTATATTTCATCAGTCCTGTTCACTCCCCCTTTGCCCCTTGATTGAACACCTACGAGACCTGGACTCATTCAGACTCAAATCACGCCCAACAGACAACCGGACATCGGGTTCAGATCCAGCCGTGGGTTTGCAGAAACTTTTAAAAAGCACCTTACCTCTCATGTCAGAGGCTGAGGGTTTCTTCGGCAGGTCGGTGAAGCTGCTACCTTCCATTTCGTCTTTTTTCTCGGCTGCTGTGGATGGAGATGTGTCCATGTCTGGTTTCAGGCCCTGAGATTTAAAAAGAGCGGGAAACCAAAAGTTAAAGCTGATGAAGTTGAGTACACTCAGGGTTTCAGTTAAAACATACAGTTTGTTTTTAACGTAGCTTTGTTTTAAYGCAGTTGAATTGGAAGATTAGATATTTTTGTGCAAAAACTAAACTGAAATTCATCTTTCTTGGCGTAAAACTGCTGCTAATGCTAATTATACTACTGTTTATGCTAATTCTACTGCTACAAAACCTACTAATGCTAATTCCACAAAAATTATTGCTGCTAATGCTAATTCTACCACCAGTACCTCATCTAAGACCTCAACTACTAATTCTACTTTTACTACTTCTAATGCTAATTCCACTGTCAATTTTAGCTTAGAGCTAACATTCTGCTGAAATGATCTTGCATTTTATCACTTTCAGCTAATTYGTTGCTATTTTAGCAAGTATTTTATTGCTTATAGCTTTTCAATAGTTTTTGCTACTTTTTCTTACTTTTTGCTACTTTTAGCTTTTTCTATTTTAATTATTGCTTTGTTACTATTAGCTTTTAGCTGGTGTTTTGCTACACTGAACTATCATTTAGCTACTTGCCTTGTAACTTTTACTTTGTAGCCTTTTAGCATGTTGCTACTTTTGTCTTTCAGCTCAGTTTCAGTTTCTTCAGTTTCAGCCAGATCCTTCAGAACATGGAGCTAAATAGCTTAAGTTTAGCTGTTAAAATTCTGTTTTCATGGTGAATAAAAGCTAAAACCTTGTCATTCTTGAACTTCAGGTGTGTCCCTTTCTTCTGTACTTCAGCTCTGTCTCCAAGGCTCTGCCCACAAACAGTCTGACTCCTGTGATTGACCATTATCACTGTGGCTCAGTGAATTTTGGTGAGGC